CCGCCCGCCCCTCGGGGATTGCCCTCCCCTCGCACCGACACGAGCCCCTTAGGAAACTTAACTTCACGTCTCAGAAATAGGTCTCTTCCTGTTTGGGAAGAAAAGTCTTCCCGAAATCCTAGGGCGGTGGACTTCACACACACGCAGAAGAGGTTTTGTTTTTGTTTTTTAATTCGCGGTGTTGAAGGTTGATGAGCCTTAGTGGAAGTTCAGTTAACTAGGTAAAGACAGTGAATCAGTAGTTCTTAAGTACTCCTTCCTTACCCTCTTCTCCCACATTAGCCGGAGTTAAAGAGCCTCGTAGGCATTTCAGAGATACTTGTCAATTGTCGGTGAAAAAAAGATCACAGCCCTTACTTCGGAAGTTGAGGGAAACTTCAGGAAGTCTTGCCCTCCATCCACCTCACTGTGGAGGATGAGAACCCCACTTTCTCATAGCCCCCCAAAAGCAACAGAAGTAATTGCAAAATTTCCCAAACTCACAGCCTCTGGAGAGTATGAAAGGTCACTTCTGGTATAAATTTAACTGTTGAGGAATGCTTTTAGGTCTCTTTCCAGGGCCCAAGCTCAGCCTAGATGTTTGAATACCTAGTCATTCAACTTTATCTACTCTGCCAAATAGGTTTAATAAATTTCTGATCTGAGGCTAATATTAGGTCTGATTATTATTAGTACGTTCCAGAGAGATTTTTCTGGGGGAAATTATCATGAAAGTGCAAAGCCCTTCTGCTAAGTATCATTAAGTAAAACCAGCCTTAGGGGACAAGTTTTCATATTGTATTACACACAGTACTGCTGGATTGAGGAAAGGGACCTGCAGAAGAATCTGGCTAGACAATGCAGTTGTTAAACATCTATGGTTTTACTATCTGTTTGGGGGATTGCTGTCTTTCAAACCATCAAAATTAAGGCTGCAAAAGAAACAATATTCATTGCCTGTAATGTCAAGCAGAGGACATTTTAAATACCAATTAGAATAGTCATTTCTTTATATTTCTAGCACCTCAAAATTAAATGACTTACTTTTATTGATTGGTATTGAATTTTTATGAACCAGTCACTTTGTGCACGTATGCGAAACATTTTTTTTAAATCATTTAAAGTATAATAGTAATTAAAATGTCCTGTACAGAAAACAGCTGCAGATGAGTGTGATTAAAGAAGCCCATCTTAAAAGATGTAATGTTCCTTGAAGGTTAGTAAAGAAAACTCAATTAAACCAAATGAGGAAAGGAACCCCATAAACAAATAAAAAACACACATTCTAATTCCCTGCTTCAGTTTCAATTTGTTAATAATTTATAATAATCAAAACGAGATGACACAAGACCTTAGTGGGCTACAATTATGATTTGTCATGTACAAGTAAGTTTCCTGCTGTGGCCCTTAATTTTCTTATCTACCAATGAAGGAATTAAGCCAAATGGTCTTTATGTGTCCTTTTTAAAAAAATGATTTTCTCAAATAGAACATATATAGGCCTGTAATGAATTGTGGTATTTCCTGAAGTATGTACACTAAAATGAAGTCTTTATTTTAAAATGAAATGTTAGAAATTTAATCAAACATCAGATATCACTGAGTGATTCTCCAAAGCATCCATGTAGTTTTGTGGGTGGAAGGAAGGAAGGAAGGGAGGGAGGGAGAAAGGAAGGGAGGGAGGGAGGGAGGGGGAAAGGAGAAAAGCAATGGGTAAAACTTTGAATACAGATCTCTAGGCTAGAAGGGGCCTAGGAGGTAGTTTTAGTGTTTTGGCTCTAATTGTGTGTGGAATGAGGTCTTAACACATGTCCCGGTAGATTGGAGTAGGTGGGAGTATGTTACCAGAGAGCTTTATTTGCTGATGTTGTGGTTATAGAAATACAAAAGCGATAATGGCTAACAGTCTCTCTTCTGAGGGGTAGG